TTCCCACTTTCTCTTCTAGAAGATTCAGTGTAACTGGATTTATGGTGAGATCTTTGATCCATTTACACTTAAGTTTTGTGCATGGTGACAGGTATGGATCTATCTGCAATCTTCTGCATTTCCGAATCCAATTGTACCAGCACCATTTGTTTAAGATGATATTTTTTTCCATTGTATAGATTTAGTACCTTTTCAAAAATAAGGTGTTCTTAGGTGCATGGGTCAATATCAGGGTTTTCAATTCGATTCCATTGGTCTATCTGTCTATTTTTGTGCCAATACCAAGCTGTTTTCAGAACTTGGTGATGCCTCCAGAAGATCCTTTATTGTAAAGAGTTGTTTTGGCTATCCTGGGTTTTTTATTTTTCCATATAAAGTTGAGTATTGTTCTTTCACTGTCTGTGAAAAACTGTGTTGGGGTTTTGATGGGGATTGCATTGAATCTGTAGATTGCTTTTGGAAGGATTGCCATTTTTTTCCATGTTAATTTTATCTATCCAAGAGCATGGGAGATCTTTCCATTTTCTGGTATCTTCTTTAATTTCTTTCTTTAAAGTCTCAAAGTTCTTATTGTACGGGTCTTTCCCTTTTTTGGTTAGTGTTACCCCAAGATATTTATTTTGCTTGTGGATATTGTAAAAGGTGATGTTTCCCTGTTTTCTCATTGGATTTATCATCTGTATATAGTAGGGCAACTGATTTTTTTGAGTTAATTTTGTATCCTACTACCTTGCTGAAGGTGTTTATCAGCCGTAGGAGTTCTCTGGTAGAGCTTTTTGGGTCACTGGTGTAGACTATCATGTCTTCTGCAAATAGTGAAAGTTTGACTTCATCCTTTCCAATTTATCCCTTTGATCCCATTTTCTTGTCATATTGTTCTAGCCAGAACTTCAAGTACAATATTGAAGAGATATGGAGAGAGTGGACAGCCTTGTCTTGTTCCTGATTTTAGAGGAAACGCTTTGAGTTTCTCTCCATTTAGTTTGATGTTGGCTATTGATTTGGTTTATATTGTGTTTATCATGTTTAGATATCTTCCTGTTATCCCTGATTTCTCCAGGACCTTTATCATGAAGGGATGTTGGATTTTGTCAAAGGCTTTCTCAGCGTCTAGTGAGATGATCATGTGGTTTTTCTTTTTAAGTTTGTTTATATAGTGGATTACATTGATGGATTTTCGTATGTTGAACCATCCTTGCATCCCTGGGATGAAGCCTACTTGATCGTGTTGGATGATTTCTCTGATGTGTTCTTGGATTCGATTTGCCAATATTTTATTGAGAATTTTTGCGTCAATGTTCATGTGGGATATTGGTTATCTGGCCCTGGGCTTTTTTGGTTGGGAGGCTTTTGATGGCTGCTTCTATTTCATTAGGGGTTATAGGTCAATTTAAACTGTTTATCCGATCTTGATTTAAT